CTTTTCCGCTTGTGGTCTGTAATGACCTGATGCCCATGGACCTCCCATTCTGGTTTCCTGAGTGTCCTCCCATTCCTCCCATACTATGACATGTGGTCATTACTCCTGGACGAGTGTATGGTGCTGGGCCAATCTGCTTCAGCATTGCATATCTCATTGCGCCTTGGTAGAAGAGCAATGAGCCCGAAACTGAGATTCATTGTGACCTCTTTTTTGGGATCAGACAAATCAAAGAATTCAAAGTTAGAGGCAAGTAATAACTACTAATCAATTGAGACGGACCCTTTTTTTTTTTTATAAATAATTTGCAAGTAAAAGTTACTATTAATTAATATTGACAATTGATGACAATTAATAATTGTTAGAGGCCAAAGGGTTGTAAGATAGAGACACTGGTTGGTGAAAGAGTCAAACTCATTAGTTATCTATTCTTCCTTATAGAGCCTTGTATCACAGCGGCGAGACGTTACACTATCTCACTATATAATTGTGTACATTCATGTTAAATTTTGTGATCATCCTAGTGTGAGTGGCGTTAAACCACTTCATTGATGGAATTTTGTGAATTATGTTGTATTATTGGCTTCGAACCCAGAGGGTATGTCGGGGCACAAGGGAGGATGGAGTCTCGGGGCAATGCGATGAAGGAGGGAATGCACATACCAATTCAACTATCTTCGTGGGTCTTCAACCTCTTCATTCCTTGCAACCAGAGATTTGTTCGTTTCCACCTTGTCAACCAACGTCTGCAACTTCTATCCTCCCTCTCCTTACCACTCATCATAAGATGCAATGGCCTCTTTGATTTTCAGCCTTTTCACCAATTTCAATCTATACAATGCCGTTTTACTCTTCGCAATCTCTTGTTAGGAGCGACCTCTATACCGGATATGACCTACCACACCAACTGGGTAACAATTACAGATTTTGGTCTTGTGAGAGCCTTGTTGAGCGATGCAAGAAAGACTAGAGGATCTAGATCTAACATGACAGGAAAATATTGTTCGTATTTAAGGTGATCAATCCTCAGCTACGATACAAGTTGCGACAATGCCTTCCGGCTATGTGGCTCTTTGAGTTCACCTTTTCGCTATTCCGGATGACTTTCAACAAAAATTGTGAAAGCAGATGGCGTACCAAAATTTAGCAGAACCAGATGACTTCAACTAAAAATGTGAAACAGATGGCGTAGCAGAACCTAGCAGGCAGACGATTTATGAGTGAAGGTCCTCGCAGTTGAGTGTCGCTCATTCGCTATCACTTCGGAATAGATTGCCTCATACACACACTTTCCTTTCTCACGGGCACACTCCGCCTACTTCGTCAATGCTGAGCAATCAACATTGTTGGACCGTTTACCGTGTCCGAGAACACGATTGGCTATGAAGAATGTTGCGGAATCCAAAGAGCGTCAGGAATAGGACAGGAATGTACTTATCCGTTCCTCTTCTCCTAAGTGGATTTGGCGTGATTCCACGTCAGCCTGTAACGTGGATACGCACTAGGGCCTCTGGGTTCAGGCGCGTGTGCGTTAGGCGCCGTTCACTAACATTTTGATATTGCCTCAATCCGATTTCTGCCTTTTCGAAGGAATCCTTGGAACTGAGGCGAGAACCCCGGTTTCGTCCCGGCGGATCAACCCCCCGCCTAAAATCCTCGGCCATGCCCCAATTACTCTGATCGACGTTCTCAAGGGTACGAGATGCGGGGCGTGAGGTTGCATATCAAATGTGTGTGTGTGTGTGTGTTGTCATATTCACTGTACACTAAAAAAAAGCTTGACCGTGCCAGACTGTTTCGTTAGACTTTCACCGACGCATCAGGAGGTTGAACCGCGACAGTATGACCAGGATTCATTTGACTAATGGATAAGGACTCGCCACATCGCCCAGAGTTAGCGACACCCCTTATTAAAAAAGGCGAGTTTACTCACACCAACCTTGCAATCCTAGCAGACTGCCGGTCTAAACCCTTGACAAGAACGGTAGTAAGTCTAAGAAACTAATCTGACACAGTCATAAGACCACTTTACACACCCACTTAACCACGTGTGTGTGTGTGTGTGTGTGTGTGTGTGTGTGTGTGAGAGAGAGAGAGAGAGAGAGAGAGAGAGAAAAAAAAAAAAAAAAAAAAAAAAAAATCTGAAAATTTGAAAATCAATTGGGCCAATTGCAAAAGGGGTGCATTGAAATGATGACTTTGCTCGGCAGGGGTAAACTGAAAATGAATTTGTACCCGTTTGTTCAAGAGAAAGAAAAAAAAACAAAGTTGGACCCGTAGGGCTATATTGCAAAGATGGCCCAATTGACGAGAAGGGTATTTTGCAAAGATTTTTTTTTAATTGTCAGAAGGGTATTCCACTCTACCGCCATCTTTAAGGGGCATTTTGGCATATATCTCATCTTTGATGGGTATAACGCAAGTTCTTCCCTCCCCAGGGACAAAAAGGCCCCGCTTATTAGCTTCCAGCCTTAGCATTTTCTTTTGGGAGGAAGTGCACATGAGTTCCTATAACAAGAGCCGGGACCCACTAGCATCGAGTAAATCTGCGTGTATAAAGAATCTTTTTTTTTTTTTTCCCATAAATGCAAAGAAAACAAGGCCAACACTATGCATCCACACTTCCACCAACCTAGTACATCTGCATGCGACCTTCCCGCCGGCCTGTTCGCAGTCTTCCACGAAAATCTCAATATTATCAATTTCTGCAAAAAAAAATAGCAAGGCGCGAAGCTTT